AACCCTCGGTGGGAGCGCCGCCGTGCTCCCAAGCGGCACACTGTAGCAGTGCGCCACTGGGCCGGCCCAACAGTGAAGTTTTTAGGTTTCTCAGCACATATTAATTTGTCTCTCTTTGGGTCTTGGCTGAGGGACTCTATCACTTGGTTTTAATCTTAGTGCTGCTTTCTTTAACTGTCTCTACCTCTGTTTTCCTAACTTTTCTCTCTCTCTAACTGTGCCTGTATTTGTAGCCCTTCAGATCTCACAAGTGTACTCCTTTTTCATCCACATGCCATATCTATTATTATCCCTTTTCCAGCCTCGTGCTTTTAATTCACCTAACTCATCATGGAGTTTCACTCCTGGCATCAGAAAAGGTGGCCCACATACATAATTCAATGAATCCAGAAAGACAGGAAAATGGATGAAAAGCCATGAATGTTGCAAACTGGGAACAAAAAAGGTAAAAAAGTGTTAACATGTTCCAAATATAACAATACAGCATCCTCAGATTGTTGGAATTAGACTACTACATGAAATTGCTAAAAATAAGAACGGCTGGTTACAATGACATCTTCATCCTTGTAGTTCAGTCCAGTTAAATAATTACTATTGAACACCCATTAGGTAGTATACAGCCCTCTAATGTGTTGGCCCTAAAAGGAGACAAAGACAAATATGCAATCTTGTGAAAGAAATCTACAGGAAAGGAGCTAGAAATAATGCATACTAAAATGACTATATAGCAATTTGAAATTTAAAGTATTATTACAGTATTAGTTCTAGGGCATTATTAGTCTTTTAATCATCCTATGAGTAAAATAAAATTGTGATGAGACTGGTAAAGAATAAAAACTAAAAATGTGGAACTGCTTTATTTCCAGTATTTTAACACAATCACTGTTGTTTGTTTTGATGAAGGAGTAGAAAGTAGTAGAGTACAACTTTAATTTATATATATTTGTGTATGTACAAATGTCTTTCCTGAATCAGAGTCAATGGGTACAGCCAAAGACAACAAAATGCAAACAACAATCTCTTCCACACGAACACACGTCAAGTCCGCCCTTTTGTTAGCACCTGTGCCTGCTATTTAAATAGTCTGTCATTGTTTGTGGTCCTGCATTTTAGACTCAACAGCCAGCCTAAAGTCTTTGCTCACAAACAGCAAGCCCATCCCTTACAGCTGCAGCCAGGCTGCTCATGAGCAGCTGGGCTTGCCCACTTAGACCTCATTGCTGCGGGGTGAACTGCAGTGAATCCTGAGACAGTTCTTCTGCCTTCTCAGCTTGTGCTTTCCCCACCTCAGCTTGCTATTTAACAGTCACTTAGGAGTCACATTGCAGTCCATTTTGCCCACACCCCCAGCTCAGCAGAGCTGTGTTGTAGAATTATTTCAAAGCTCGTACATAGGCTGCATTCCGAGTCTTTGCTGCCACTGACCTTGTCCTCCCACTCAATATTCTGATGGGCTCATAAATGGTCTGAAGGAAGCTGCTCAAGAAGCCAGATGTGCCACTTGTGGCAAGGCCCATGTTTCACGGGAAGTGTGCCTGTGCTTTGTAAGTCTTCAGTTCCATCTCACTGCAGTTTGATATTACATTTGTAACAGACTCTGTCAACTTCCCAAAGGACACCCTTGATTCTGTTCTGTGCTTCTTTGTCCATTAGTGCATCACTGCACAATGTCATGCTTCAATTTAAGGACTCAGTGACAGCTTCCAGGCTGTGTAAACAATAAAAGTCTCAAGGCTTCTCTGACTAGTCTCTCTTTAAAAAAAGACTTTAGTAGGATTATACAGCATTATTGACCTCTGCCCTAATGGTCAAATAGACTGACACTGTACTATCTTGCAGCATTTTAAATATAGAGAATAATTGATCTGCAGATAAAAGACAAAAATGTCTACACTGTGCTCAGTTCTCCTATTTGAGATTTCCCTATAGGAATGGGAAGAAATATGCCTTATTCTATCACATGCAAATAAGCCTAATTTCCTACAAAATCTCATACTT